AGAATTATAGAAGTCCCAGGCCTGCAGTCTGACTGCATACTGAAAACACCACATTTTTTAGGATGTGAAAAACATGCTTCATTTTCACACAGCACCTGCCACCAGGAACATTAGCACTTGCAAGCTGGCTATGTTGGCTCACCAACCTGCACATAGATAAAGCACATCTCACGGTGATCAGCACACTTCCTGTCTTCCCTTCTTACCCAAGTTCAATTTTGCAGGCATCCGGGGGTGGTTATTCCCACTCTGTCCATGTCCTTCTTCTTGTTCATTTGTTACAATGTCCAAAGTTGCCAAGTGCATGTAGTTTACCGAGAATGTGAAGTAGCTGTTTTGAGCATGTGCCTATTGACCTGCCAGGCCCTCCTAGGGAGAGGCAAAGAGCCTCAGGAAAGGTGGTGAGATGTTTAATCTTCACAGTAACTTCACTAGATTTGGAACCACCTAAAGACACAGCTCTGGGTATTTGGTTTGTGACGGGAAACTCACTCTGAATGTGGACAGCACATTGATGGACTGAGGCCCCATGGAGGAGGGGGAGAAAGCAAGTGTTCATCCTCTCTGCTCTAACTATGCATACAATGTGACTAGCTGCTCATGCCTGCACCTGACTGTGCTCCCCCATACTGTGAGGCAAAATAATGCTTTCCCCCCTTAAGTTTTGTATAGTCAGGTACTTAGTTTCAGGAATGAGAAAATTAATAGAGGTATCTGTGGCAAGTCCCGGGGCTGTGGTGGAATCTGGGGCGCTGGAGGCTTGAATCCCAAGCCCATCTCTAGTCCTTTGACAAGGTTGTTTCCTATTTCTCTCATCGAGACACAGGGCTACCACCTGTCAAGGCTGTTGCAAGGCTTCCAGGAGTGATGCCTGATACTAGGGCTAAGGAAACTTTCAGCCACAGTAAACAGTATAGTGACTGTTCCTCAGGACTGTGCTTCCTCCAGTCATTACTTCAACCACTTCAAAAGGGCCCACCATGTTCACTGCACTATGCCAGTGATCAAACTGATACACACACGCGCGCGCGCGCACACACACACACACACACACACACACACACACACACACACACCTTCTGGCATTCTGGGGCACATACACACCGACTGGGACACACACCTCATATTCACTTTGAGATAAAGTAAACTCTGGCACACAAACAATGACACTGCAGGAGCATGTGAACTGTACTGCTCAAATGTTACAAAATGTGGAAGATCTGTCCCAACAAGGCAGCTAGGCGAAGCTTCTCTACAGCTGTGCTTCTCAACCTTCCTAATGCTGCGACCCTTTGATACAGTTTCTCATGTTGTGGTGACCCCAACCATAAAATTATTTTCATTACTACTTCAGAACTGTAATTTTACTACTGCTAAGAACTGTAATGTAAATATCCGGAATATCTGATATGCAACCCCTGTGAAAGGGTCATTCAAACCCACAAGAGGAGAACCATTTCTCCAAAGCCTGGCTGGGAGATTCTATACAGAGAAGGCTGTAGGGTAGAAGGGTGTATAACGTTTTAGGAAAGGATACTTCCTAAGCAAAGATTCCAAAGTTAAAACAAAACAAACAGCAAAACCAATACAGTTTTAAATTAGCACAGATAGTGATGGGCAAGCCTGGAAAAGAGCTCAGAGAACTTGAGGAGTGGGAAAGAAGAGTCCATATCAAGACTTCACCATATGCAGTGTGTCTGGCTCACACACCCAGGGTTATAGGGAGATGGATCTGGTCAGGGTGAGCAGATGGGATGGAGAACCTGGTGACAAAGGGAGCAGACAGGCTGCTGTTGATCCAAAAGTGTGCAAGTGAGGGTTAAGAATGAAGACAGGATACAGGGCAAACGGATGTGACTCAGTAACCAGACGGCTGAACAGAGCAAGAAAGATAGCCCCAGTTTGGTGGTGCGTACCTATAATCCCAGTATTCAGAAATCCGAGAAAGGAGGCTTCTTGTGAGTTTGAGGTCAGTGTGAGCTACAGAGAAGTAAACCACTGGGCTATAAGAAACTCTGTGGCCACTCCCTTGGGGGGAGGGTGCTGCAAAAAGCCTGAGGGGGGGAGGAGGATGAGGAAAAGAAGAAGAAGAAGAAGAAGAAGAAGAAGAAGAAGAAGAAGAAGAAGAAGAAGAGAGATGACTACATGGTTTTGAACTTAGCCCTCTTTTCTACCTAGAGGAGGAAGCTAGTTGCTCCTTCCTTAGGTTCTAACCCTCAGTATCTATTGCCTCTGTGAAATGGGGGTTGAACCTCCACCTTCTCTGGGACAAATGAACACAAATGAGTGAGCCAGCTGGCACTGATGTGAAGTGCCTGCCACATGGGAGACTGCTCAGGAAACATGAGAAATCCTTAAAATGTAGAATACCAAAAAGTCTAACAGCAAAAGTCCCCCCTGCTCATGTTTGTTCATGTTTTGATGAGTTAGAAGTTTTTCCCAGATCCTGTGGCCCATCAGCACTGTCATCCAGCTTAAGCCTTATAGAAGCGCTTCCCCAGGTCAGAATGACATAAACCAGATCACTGTGTAAACCTGCAGGCAAAGCTGGCAGCAACCCCTGTGGAATGAATGAATCTGAGAGTCTGGGTAGGGTCCTCTTCCCCCACCCTCTGACAAAGCCTCCTCCCACATGCCTTCTGTGAGTTCTTGTAACTGAGTCTGTGGTGACGGTCTCGGGGGCTGCTGACTAGTCATCCCATGTATGTGGACTTCAAAGGCCTGTTGACACAGCTGCACACCGGAGTCTGGGGCCAGAATAGCCTGAAAGGTGGCTGCTGCCACTCCCTGAAAGCCCACCCAAGGGGACCAGTGATCTACCCCATCTCTCAAAGCACTATGGTTTAGTCACCAGAAATTTCATACAAGTCACCTGCCCCACAGGACACTGGAATTTGGAAATTATTGACAAGAATCTTGACCAAATCTTTTCTTTTCTTCTTTTGTCACTGGAGACGTCTGCTCCCAGCTGATGTCTCAGTGCAGGCGATTACCCATTTGAGCCAAATAGCTGCTAGTTTAAAAAATGTCATGACACCAATGGACATGCCAAATTGCATGGGGGGAAAAGCCCATGAGGCCTCAATCCTACACAGAAAAGTGCAGGCAACTGAGTGTAGCTAGGAGAGAGAAGGTGACCTTCCTCAGGGAAGAGCATATCAATTGGTTGTCTGACAGATGGTCATCCCCGAAACATGCATACAAGTAACAGTAGATGGACTCAACAGTTATTTTGGGAACATATATATGCATATACAAATATAATAAATATGCATGTAACAACAATTGATAAAAAGAGACCATGAGTTTGAAGGACAGTAGGGAGTGGTTTATATGGAAAGGCTTAGTGGGAAGACATCAAAATATAATCTCAAAAGCAAACAAAGGAGAAACATCATGAATGCGCTGAGGAAGTCCTCTAAGGGCCAGAAAGTTGTCCACCTACAAAACAGGGATGGGCCCTGGGCATTAGGCTTCAGAGCCTGGTGGATTCTAGTTCCCAAAGGAGCCTGACACCGGCATGGAACTGAACAGGTCTCCTCATGTTCAGGGAGACAACCGCAGCTTAAGCAATCTATGATCACACAAACACTAGCTTCTTCTGTGGCACTAATGAGCTAGGAAGGAACTTGAGCAGATTTCTAAGGTTATTTCCTTATCACCAAACAGCAACTATGACTTCCAAACAGTTATTTCCCACATGTCCCCTTGGCTACCACACTACCAATGAAGCCCTTTTCACAGAGGAGGACACTGGGGCTCAGAGTGATCAGGAGCTTCAAGGCCATAGGCCTGGTAGGGACTGAAGTAAGGATGAGAGGAGGGAATTTCTGCATTCTAAGCCATTTGGTGAGTAGTTACCGACTCCAACTCTGGCCAGACTTGTACTAGCAGCATGTAAGTGTCTGTGTTCTGGGAGTAAGGGCAGAACAAAACTCAGGAGAGGAGGATATTGACCAACACACAGATGAGCCAGGCAAGTTACAACCCACTTACTAACTCCAGTAAGAACACCTTATCTTCAAGAGTTATTCAGGGTATCTTTCTCAGGCATCTCTAGATGTTAAATCTTTACGACACCCACATAAGGCCTCTGGTTGTAAGGCTCTGAGACACTGGACATCCCTCCCACAATGAGCACTGAACTCAGGGCACCTGCAGCAAACAGAACAGGGAGGTGGGGAAAGGGACAGAAGATGCAGAGGCAGTGGATCAGAAGAAACCATTTCCTGGCCAAAGCTCCATGGTCATGATCTATCTGGCTACCAGGAATCTCACTGTGGTGGTTAGAAAGTGCAAAACTAAAAACAAATCCAGATTATGCATGTGTATGGATTATTTATATATATATATATATATATATATATATATATATATGTTTTAAATACTTAGTATATGCTAAATACTGTACTGGTTTCCATGCATTAACTCATCTATTCCTCACAACACCCCTCCAGGGATATATTTTAATTCCTCTTTTAGTGTATGTGTGTGTGGGTTCCTGAGGAAGTGTTTGCTTAAGTCTACAAAGTTTCAATAATAATATGGGACTTTAAAAGCAAGGTTTGTTTTACTTCAAATCCTAAGTTTTATTTCTTAATTTTATGTGTGTGGTGGTGGTGGTGGTGGGGTGTACATGCCCTTGGAAGCAGAAGCATTTGATCCCTGGGAGTTGGAGTTGTTGGGAATTGAATCCAGATCCTCTTCAAAAGCTCTTAATCACTCTAGACTCATATCCTAACTTCAAGTATCACCAATTCTATGAGATGACTGACTAGAAGATGCTTGTTTTCCAAATGCAGCCATCCACAGTCTGACACTGCTATGACTATCACAGTGACAGTAAGCCAGCCCAGCAAACAACTTTCTCTATCAATGAAATGATTATTATTTTGGTGCCAGTGACTGAATCCACATCCAGACTCATGGGTGCTAGGCAAACATCTGGCTCTGAGCTCTATCCTAGCCCAGTAATGTTGCTGCATATACTTCCACTATCATTAAAACTGTAACAGTTTATTCCAGAGATGGACTTTGTAATAAAGTGAAGCCTATTCCAAAAGCACAGGGGCAAACCCAGATGCAGTTCATCCCTAACTGTGGCCATGAGACCATCAATTTACTGAAACCAGTTACCACATTGACAAACGCTTGGGGCATATATTTAACATTTTCAAATAGAAGGACCTTGAGTGTTCTGTCTACAGAAGTAAGGTAGATCCTGTATTTACCATGTGACAAAGGTAAAACTCTACCACAACAGATCTGAACATTTTGAGGCTGATAGTCAAATCAGACCCCTAAAGGGTTGTTCAGAAGGGCTTGGGAGTGAGCAGATTATCTGCTCAGGATTTAGGAGTGGGTTGCTAAAGCTCTTGGTGACTGTGCATAACCTCATTTGGGAAGAAGGGCCATGATCATCAGAGCCTGCTCTCCCTCTGCATGCAGCTCCAAGGCCAGTGAGAACATGCTCACGTTCCACAGTCCCGTTTATGTCAATGTCAGCAACCACTTCAGGAGGGGCAGGGGCAGAGCCACTGCCAATGACTCAGAAGCCACAATTTCTCAAATAAGCAGCCGATTTGTACAAAGCAGGTTCACAATCCTGGAAAGGGAAAGAGAAAGAGAAGGCCATGAGTAAATGGAGCTGCCTTTAGTGTTGGGATCTGAGGAAAGCCTGAAGGTGATGCTGAACATAGGCCCCAGATTCAGAGATAGAGGCAGACATTCAGACATTCAGGTATGTTTTAGGGAATGAGTAAGAAGCATCTAGCTAAGGTGTGTGTGAGCACATGTGTCCTCTATTATTTTTAATCAGGAGGTCATTATGAGCGCCACGCCACTTTTCTCACTCTATGAAGTCTCGGTGTTCGTTCACAATTGGACATGATGCTGCAGGCAATGAGATGAAAAACAAACAAACAAACAAAAAGCTCCCTCCCTACTTGGTGGAAAACATTCTAAGGTAGAACCTTAACCAACCAGCATTCACCAAGCCCCTTTCTTGGGCCTGGCTCCTGGCTAGATGCTGGGGAGACCCAGCGAGGACAAAGTCCTCTTCCTTGCTCCCTGGGAGGACACAGTGGGGTCAGAGGGAGAAGTCCATAGTAGAAAGGCAAGCACAGGGTTAGGGATTTTCACTAACAGGATGTGAGGCATCTGCCTGGGGGGGGGGAATCCACACAGATGTTCCTCCCCACCAGGCTTTGAGGAAAAGCAGCAATGGCTCATTAGGGAGGCTACAGGGGTCTGCTCTGATTAGGACTTTTTGTGTGTGACCAATCCCTGCCTCTACTGCCCGGAACCTGTACATGTACTTCTGCAGTGTCCTGGAACCGGGAAAGCTCTATCCTTCCAACCTCCTGCTAAGCACAAGAGGACATGACCTCAACTCTGTAACAGCTTTAGAGTCTACACACACTCACCCCATGACAGAATTCAGACTCCAGTTCTATAAAGGGGCCCTTAGATTTTATGTTGTTTCCTCGAGATATTTTAAAAATGTAGGGACAGTTATTACTCAATAAACAGCAGCAATATGTGCAGATATGTGCCCAGGCCTCAGGAGGAGCTGCCCATAGCAAGTATAACAGGCAGGGTTTCAGCCCTAACTAAGACAAGCTCTTCACAGCCAGAAAGGCCAGGACCAGTGCCAGTTCTCCCATCTCCTAGGTCCCTTGCTCCTTCCTGTTCATTCTCTGAAACACTTTTTGTTTGGGTCCTGACACCATTTGTTCAAGGAACAGGGGAGGGCTGAGATCTGGTTATGAACGGCTGTTGGTGATTTGTTTAGTTTAGTGTTCCCAAGAGCTGGTTTTGGGTGGCTGTACCAATGTATACGACAAAGTCTAAATCTCAATCTTCATAGCGAGTCAGCTAGTCACAAAAGCACCTGGGAGGTGGGGGTTATGAGAGACAGAAAAGTCTCAGACTACCAATAGAAAAAAGCTTATCCTTAGCCCCTCATCCTATCCCAGTCATGGGGAAGGGCTTGTCTGCTCCTCTCACCCTTCCATGATTGGATCTGATGGGACCAGAAATCCCAAAGGTTACCTTTGAATCTAGGGCCCTCAGATGACACCTACCATCCCCCACTTTTTATATCTTTTTTCATAATACCTTATTTATTGTTGAATATGTTACACAAGCCTCACAGTTGTGCAATCCAGAGGATGACAGCAGAGTGGAAAAACTGGCCTAACTCAGTGAGATATGGGCTATTATGCAACACAGATGACCAGACACAAAAGCATGAAAATCTTCTTGGATTATATAATCAATAACCAGAAAACATATTTGAAGGGAAAGTAAGAAAAATGACTTCAAGTTTGTCCTCTGGCCCTTCCTGTTGGAGCAGTAAGCATGAAGGTTTTCTGTAGTCATCTTTCCTTTATAATTGTGCCGAACTTCAAGTTGACACACTGGACTTGTGCATACGATGCTGAAGATGAACCCTAGGGCCTTTCTCGTGTTAAGTCATCACTCTGCCGTGAGCTAAATCCCCAGATTCTTGCTTCCTTTTCCAAGTCTCATGACTGACAGGGTCATCAAGATTCCAAATCTCTCTTCATCCTGCTTCATGAGTTTGACTGTAACTGACACAACAGCCATTATTAAACAAGAATTATATTATCTTGCCTTTCCTCCTGTGTTGAGGGAGGCCTTGAAATGGCTGTGACCTGGCCTATAAGTCACTGACTCCTCTGCCCCGAAAATTTTCTAAGACAGTACACTGGAATAAATGAAGTGACAACAGGGGACCTGAGTTTTGATTCTGGCTCTAGATATAAATTGGGCATCACTTAATCCTTTGGGGCTCTAAGCACTGAAGGGTGAGAAGTAACCTGACAGACAGTGGCTTAGGCAGAAACCCACACACTACTTCTCGTGATATGTTTAAACTTTGTCTATGCTCTAAAAGGTGTACCTGGGCTCAGTAAGATTTATCTGTCTTGTGAGCATCCTGCCTCCCTAGTTTACAGGGCTTTAGTTTATATCCACATCTGAGGCTACAGGCAGCCAGCCCCTTCTGCACAGCACTTGAGCATTCGGGTCCAATCCTGGTTTGGGGGTTACTTGGGTGACCCCTGGGCCCGCATTCTGACAGCTACTAAAATTGAACAGAGGCACGAAGATGTAACCGTATCTTGGAGGCCACTATGCGTTTACCTTGCTCAGGAAGATGAACGCTGGCTCACTACCTAGACCTTGGCCCATCGAGCATTGCTTGAGCACCGCAGCGGCATTACTTCATACCCTAACCACCTAAGGAAAACACAGTATTTCGCTGACACACAGGAGTCAGCAATGGATGCTTTTCACTGATGGCCAACCTCAGTGATGAAACTTAGAGTGGTCCTGAGCCCTTCTAGAGCCTGAAGACACAAAATAAAAAGTGGAAAGAGCCCAAACCACAGTCTTAGATGGAAGGGGGTAAGGCAACATGCGGTTCAGTCAGTTTCCACTTCTGCAAAATAAGGATTTTGAACGAAAGGGTCTTCTAATTTTGAAGTTTCCGAGAACTGTACGGCACGCCAGGCCGATGTCTGAGGCTCGTAAAGGGAAAGCGGGAAAAGCGAGAAAAAGGGAAAAGAAGACGCGGGACGCTGGGGACAGGCTTGGCGGGTTTTCCGCGTTGCTACTCCTCGTCCCACACCTCTGTGTTCAGCGATCAGCCAACGTCCCGAGCCCGTCAGCTTCGGACACCAAAGCTCCTTGCTCCTCACATGTTCTGGAAACCGTGGGGCAGAAGCGGAGCAGTCCTGAAGAGGGTGGCAGTGGGAAGGGTCCCACGGGGGACCAGAGGGCAGGTGAGCAG